AAAAAACACACAGATCTTTTTGGAATCAACGTGGAGTTAATTTCGTCAGTTTTTCCTCGAATTCGCAGGTGCAGAGTCTTTCAATCAATTTTTCTCAGATAAATAAAAAAATCCACCAAGATAAATGCGTCATACGTAAATTATGATATTCCACACTCACAAAAAAACTACCTAGAAGCACAGAAACTCTTTGACTGCAAAGCTTATTAAAAAAACTAGACAAAATGTACAAATTTCTGTACAGTATAACAAATTATTCATTATTATTGAGCCTTTTAAAAAAAAAAATCCATGACGCACAAAAATTTTTTGACCGAACTGCGAAGCATGAACAAAAAACTATAGACGGAATTTCATTTTGTACAAATTTCGGATTAACGAATTATTCATTATTAACAAGTCTTCAATCAAAAACTTACGAAATGCAGATTAACTCTTCAACTCAAGTGCTTTTATAAATGTCATTTCTCTCAGAAAAACACCGACCAGCGCAGTTGATGACAGCATCCAGTCGTCCAAATTCATCGGTAGTCTTCTTGAGCGCCGCTTCAACTTCCGCAGTCGAGGTGACGTCGCAGGGGGCAAACAGAGCGTTGGTGCCCAGCTGGGACGCCACTTCACCGCCTTTCGACGAGGACAAGTCGCAGACAACCACTTTGCCGCCCTGGCGTACGAATCTTTCCGCCGTGGCCCGGCCAAGGCCCGAAGCGGCGCCTGTCACTAAGCCCACCAAACCTCGCATTGCTTCTCTCTCTCTTGAGACTTCACACACACAGGAATCACTAGAAATCGTGAAGAAAAGAAACTCTTGAAGCTTTCTAAAATTTACAGACCGTTTTTTCACTAATTAAAAAATTGACCACGAATCCATATCACCCGAAACAATTCGATCCACGAGATGACTTGACAAGAGTTCATTTTCTCACTCAAGCATTGGCTCCTGAAAATCGAGGAAAACAATTATTTTATGACACAAATCATCATCATACAGGGTATCTAAAAAAAGGAAGTACGCAGTGGAAAAGATTCAGGGATAGTTTTAATGAAGGTAATTATGCAAGAAGGTCTCATTAAAATCCTTGATATTGCAGTTTCTTCTATTTCCTTTTCGGTACTGTATTTCACTAATTTCGTTCTTTTAGAACTTCTACTCGACAGCTCAAGTCAAATTTTAGCAAGGGAACTGACAATTTTCAAAATGAATCTAAAACGCGCAAAAATTTCATAAAATGAAAATTTTCATTGAAACACTGACTCATTTAT